ATTGTTTTGGAATTGGTCTTGTTACTTCCAAACAGTGAGATATCACTACTAAAGTAACAAGAAACTGGAAAAATCTAGTGGCAAAGTAATAACCGTTTGCATTACGCACTAGTTCATGATTGAAACCCTTTTTTTCATTATTAACAGGGTTTATCTTTTTGCGGATATTTCCGGAATTCCGAATATTTTTCTCAACTTTTAGTTTTTCTGGATATCCAAAACGTTTTCTATACATACAAGTTTAGGAATATATTTTTGTAATATATTTGTTTTTTAAGCTTTTTCACTCATTACTCATACAAAACTTAAAAAAAAAGTTAAAAAAAAAAATTAAAAACAGCTCAGCTAAAATCAGAATTATTAGGAATATTAGGGAAAATATATTCCGGATATTTTACCCTACTGATTTTCCGGATTTTTAAAATATGACCTGGATGATCTATGTATTAATCATTAGCTCAAAGCATTTAACTATAGCAGGAAGTACCTCTATAAACACATCTAAACCATCAATTCTGGCAATCCATCTTGGACGACATGCATCTATTAGACAGTTTTTTCAGAACATCAAACACTTTAAACTAAAATTAAAAAACTGAGATATAATAGGAACAATTGCCATCATCTTGCTTACTATTTCTAAATTACAGGAGTCTGCAACACAAAGATGAGTACGTGAGATCCACAATGTACATGCAGGGCTTTTGGATAAATAGTTTTTATTCTTATTGTATCATCTGAACAATTGCCTGCCATGTTATCAGCACTGTCATAGCCTTGACAAACATAAACTTTCATATCTATTCCTAACTCTTTAAGAATATTTAAAATTTGCCTTGCTATAGCTTCTCCAGACAAGCCTAAGTCACTTGGAATAAAGCCAAAAAATAGTTTTTTACAAATTTCACAATTATCATTTACAAATCGTATCACAAGTGGCATTTGTTTCATAATGCTAACATCAGATGCTAAAGTTGAAAAAAATTTAGCTTTTATAATTTTACATGTCAATTTAGAAACTGGAATATCATTACAAATATTAATCAACTCATTTTAAGTAGTTTTAAGCCTAATGTAGCATTTTTTGGATTAGTAATTTATCCATTCACTAAATTGTTTTCTGTCAGATGTTTCAAAATTGTTCTCCTTTGATCAGGATTCTGCATGAGTGACTTCTTCCTCAATCAATTATTTACATTTATTCTTGATAATTATATTTTGATTTTTATATTTATAATATTATAGATATTCTTATTCTTATTATTTTTATTATTATTGTTATTGTTGTTATTATTATTATTGTTATTATTATTATTATTATTATTATTATTATTATTATTATTATTATTATTATTATTATTATTATTATTAAATTATTATTGCAATTATATGATTGTAATTTTTGAGGAAAATAAATATCTTATTGTTGTTGTGTTGTTGTTACAAATGACTATTTTCTCCTTGATATATTATATAATATAATATATTGATATATTAGTTATGTCCAGAAAGAATTATACAAATTGCTTATAAAGTCCCAAGGGCATTGTTTTTGCAGCAATTATTAACAAATCCAAAACAAAAAAGCTAAAGCAGTCTTGAACTTTCAATTGGATTTTAACAAATAGTTAAAGATTTTTTTTATGAATAGTGGAACAAATAGCAAATAGTATGTTTATTGGTTGAAGTTTTATGAAGACCAAGTATTGGATTAATTTTTTAACCAAAGTATAACAAATATTTGGTTGAATAAAGTTGACAAATTTAAATAAAGTTGAATAACTTTATTTAAATTCGTTTGGCTTTTAAATGAACTTAGTCATTGCTTGATTTATGGACAGTGGAAAATAATAATCATAATAACTAATCTAAACAAATTCTATTGTGAGATATGTTCTGATTTTTTTGTAAAACAATTTAATGAACTGATATAAAATTTTTTTAATATACTTTAAAAATCCCCAAGTAGTATTGTATAAGTTGAACTAATTTTCTAATGTTATTTCATCAAAAGGTTTTACGAAGCATTTGTAAACATTTACACACAGGTTATACAGGACATTTATAAATAAATTTTGTACATGTTTTTAATTGCATTTTAATAATAATTTAAATAGTGTCTTAAAAAGTTACTATTGAAAAGAAGTTGATTGTGAAGTATTTAAGTATTTCTTTAATGTTTCTCAAATTTAAGTCCAAAAATTCTTTACTGAGTAAAAGTTCAATAAGTTTGAAAAAACAAAACAAAAAACAACAACAAGAAAAGCATTTCTAAAGCAACAAAACTTTTAAAATTACATTTTTATAGTAATGAATCTACACATTTATGGTCCCTTATGTTAAATTAGTTCCTGAGAGAAAAGTTAAAAAAAAAATTAACAATTAAAGTGTGATATCACTTTTTGTTATAAATGGTTATTTTACTATATGTTATAAAAGTGTATTTAAACAAAAATTCAACATTTAATGAATGAAGTTTCACTATTTAATGAATGCTTTATGCCAAGTCTGGTATCATTCAATGTGGTAATGGTGTAGAGGAGCTGTTTCGTAATCAAGAAGTCAGTTCTACTCTTGTCGCATTCATAATAGCTCTCAACCTAATTTTGCATGTTGTGACTTTGTTTGCATTAGTGTTTCAGAATTATACGGATGATGATTGTAACAATGTTGTTTCCAACATAATTTTTTAAATAAGCTTTAATTATGATCTTATGGTCCAAAAAATTTTTTTTATCTCGATTATAGCAACATTAACATGTAGCCAGAAATCATCATATTTTATGATTGTGATGTAGTTTTACAATTGTCCTGTAGTCAGGGATGACTGTTTCTTTCAGAGGATGACTGAACTTTATAAAGACAAATGTCAGTTGTCTGACAAAACCAAATATTAGTCATAAATAATATTAGTAATTTTCTGATTTGCTGTTTGAGTTGTTCACTGACATCAAAATAAAAGAGGAGATTGGCTTAAAATAAGGTGATAAATCATGTAATTTAAATGTATAATTCCTTGCCTAATTAGGTGTTTTCTGGATGGTTGAGCAATAATATCAGCCAAGAAGTTACGTTAATCATTCTATGATGTCTGAAATTTTTGTTACAAAAATTTTTTTTTTGATAAAATATTTTTAGAAAATTTATCTTCCAAGCTTGAAAAAAGCTTTGTTGTGATAGTTATACTGATTCTTTCAAAAAGCATTCAAAGTAGTTGATGAATAAAAAAATTAAAAAAATTTATAAATAAAATGATAAAAATAAACAATTTGAAATTATGTATGATTTGAAATGCAACTTTAATGTTTTTATTTGAACTATGCCAAACAAAAGATTAAACATTAATTATGCACATGGTAGTCTTCTTCATTTTATTATTAGATAAATCATATGATATAAAATACTAAAACTCATATAAGTTATTTGCGTTTAAAAAAGAATTAATAATTTTGTAAAATGCATACATTATTTTTAAGATTCCTATATCCGGAATCTGATGAAATTAACAAGCTTCAAAAAAAAAAAAAAATTTGTTTTTTGGAGAAGCTTACATGCTTTTTTTTATATACTTTCTCGCTTGGTTTTGTTTTTTTTGTATACATTCATTATTTAAGTTTAGTAAGTACAATTTAGTTCAAACTTTTTTTTTTTAATTTTTCTGGCTTTTAAACATAGTTTTTGAGTTGGTTGTCTCTTTAATAAAATTATGCTTGATATAAATGTCCCGATCACGGCATTAAACTGATCTTATATTGGGGCTGGTAAGTCTCTTTAACAGTGGCAAAGCCAACTTATTTAGGAGAAGGAAAGCTCTGATATAAAATCTCTGATTTAATTGTTGCTATGGTTAGGAGAATCTCATAAATCTTTGATGGCAATCCTTCTAGTAGTATCACAATAGAAATACTCAGTTCTGACCTGCTAAACAGTTTAATGCTAAGAATGAATGTTAAGTAATTAATATTTAACATTTATGGGAAATTTTAAATTAAAAAAAAACTTGGTTTTTGCTCAACAAACAATATATGTTTGGGAAAATAAAGTGTTAGTGAAAGCATTCACAACTTTACCATCAAACATGGTTAAATCTAGTTTGAACTAGAATGCAATCACTGTATCAGGTTTGCCTGTGCAAAATATTTGAAAGAAGTAATAAAATGTTTTACATTTTATATTTTTTAAAAAAATTCTATTCTAAATTAAGGCAAGTTTTGGCAAAATGACCTTTTCTTTCTGCTTTCATCTAAATGTTTTAAACATGTGTCTTTAAATTAAAATTTCAACTTGGTGCTATTAGTTACAGTTATTCAATATAAAAGTTCTTTGTTTTTTTGTAACTTGGCTCACTGTGCAGTGGTTTCTGCAGCCTTGTTTGAACTAAATTTGTTTAAAAAAACATTTAGTTGACTTCAACAATCACAGTTCAAGTCAAGTTTAGTTCTATCATAGCAAAGTATAACACTATATAGTTAACTTGAACATGATTGTTGAATATTTTTTATATTGACTTTATAAATTATATTCATGTTATTTTTTTATTATTTTTTTTATTTCAAAATTTTCTCAAATCATTTTAATCTTAATCTTAGTCCCAAACTTTCTTACACATTTTTTTTGATGATTTTTTTGAGTGAAGTTTTTTCATTGTAATTTTTACTTATAAAATCATTCAAAAAACATAAGTTGTTGTATTGTTAAAAAAAATTGTTTTACACATTTTTGTTCTTTATTTTATTTATTTTGACTATATAATACTATTATTATTGTTATTTACAATATTGAAGCTTAAATTTATATTTTTTAATGCTCTGCATGGTTATTCAACACTTAGGCCATGTGGTTACACAACTTTATGCTTGTACATTATTAAAATTACACACAATGTACTTTTTGTTGATAAGTCTTGCAATGCAATTGAAATTTTTTTTAGTTTTTGGAATCATAAAAGTGTAATCAATTTTCATACTTTTGTAATGGTTTATTGAATATTTTTTTTAAAGGAAGATCCTGTGCTTGAGCGAACATTCAAAGGTCATAAAGATGCTGTTACAAGTATAGATTTTAATAGCAATATGAAACAGTTAGGTATGTTCTAATGTTCCATTTTTTAAAATATAATTTATTACAGGTGAGAATTTCTTTGTTAGATGGAACAGTGCTATCTCTTTGTTAATTAAAAGATAAAGTGTAAATATGTGAAGTTTGAAGGTGAAGTGCATATGTATGTTTGTTTTGTTAAAATCTCTGGTGCGGTGTTAGCTTACCTATAAGTTACTATTAGCATTTTTATGTTCTGTTGGAATCTCTGGTCTGGTGTGTTAGCTCAGTAACTGACTAGTGTCTAGAAATTAGTCAGTTACTGAGACAGTTTCTAATTTCTATCTGTTAAAATGTTTTTCTTATTTGTTAAAATCTCTGGTGCGGTGTTTGCTTACCTATAAGTTACTATTAGCATTTTTATGTTCTGTTGGAATCTCTGGTCTGGTGCGTTAGCTCAGTAACTGACTAGTGTCTAGAAATTAGTCAGTTACTGAGAAAGTTTCTAATTTCTATCTGTTAAAATGTTTTTCTTATTTGTATCCAAAAGCCTTGTGATAGTACTGCTTACAGAAGTAACTTCTATTTCTGGTCAGGTCAGGTTCAGGATCATTATGATCACCCTGCTTATGGTAACATGTTATCCAGTACAACCTGCTTTGTATCCTGCTGTTTTGCAGAGATCACTTTTCTAGGCAAAGGCTAGGAGAAGTTAACCTTGACTTAATGGCCTAAATGCCCTAGCCTTAGAATTCAAGGTTTTGTAATGGGATATAAATTCATTTGTTATTTACCTATAGCAGTAATTCTATTTTAAACTTGCCTCCTAATGCTATACTTAGTAACAACACTAAGAGTCATTTTAGTATCACTTGAAGAATCCTATTTTCGGAACTGTTACCCAAAAGTGAATCTTAATTATTTAGCTACAACAAAGGTGATTAAAATTTACAAAATTTTATCCCCTTGATTAATAAAACATATTAAAAACCTATCTGAGCAAAAAAATCTACAAAATCATGTAGTGATAGAGACCTCTTTTTCCTTCTTTATTTTTAAACTGACATACATGTTAATTTGTGCTACATTGTTTCTTGTCTATGATGATGAATGCTGGATGTTCTTGACTCTACTACTTAATAACTCAACTCTTCCTGTTATCTTCTAATGAAGATACACCTTTAAAACTTATTTTAATGGTTTTTAACTGGTATTTCTCTCAGAGATGCTGATTCTATCAACAGCTACAAAACATTAGAGTTTTAACTGTGCCATGCGGTAGTGGTGTAGTGGTAGAGGCGCTCGCTTCATAAACGAGTGGTTCCGAGTTCGATCCCCACCATGTCCCTGGTAGTACCGCGCTCAACTCGTTTCTCGGCGCAGCGGCCTTGTTTGTCAAGGTTCGTGTTTCGGAGTTATAGAGTTGAAAGAGGGTTATAGCCACAAAACAAGTAGCCTCCTCGTCTGTAGTGGCCTTCTCGGTCTTGAGGAGGTGAAGTAAAATAAAAAAAAAAAAAAAAAATGTTGCGCACAGATGGTGTCCCTGTTAGTGCTTAAGTTATACATCGATGAGACCACAGCTCTTTGTTATGAGTTTAGGTTTATTAATGGAATGAGGCATCTGCATAGCTCATTGCTTAGTGTGCCAGGCATTATCTACTATTGAGTCAAGTTCTCTTATTATTAAAAACATAAATAATGTACCTCAAAATAATAAACATAAAATACCACCAATGCTTGTGGTCTTCAAAGTAACTTTTAATCTATTGAATCTTGCCTATTGTAAAATCCTCAGACAACTTTCTCTTTACAAGGCTAATTTGAGTTTGTTTGTTTCATCTTCAGATCTTAGTGTTGATGGTTTTTAATCTTTGATTCTTTATATAGCATATTCCTTTAAAGCTATTATTCTTTGACTCTTATAATCGCATGCTTGGTCTGGGTTTATACCTACTTATTACTTAACTGATATTAAATGACCCTAGCTTATGCTCAGTTTCTACTTTCAGTTTCTACTTTTTCATAATTTTTACTAGGCTTGACTAAGGTTCTTTTTGTGATGGCTCTAATTACAAAGACCTTTTTAAAAAGTTTCTGATGAGGGAACTTTTTAACTAGTGGGTTCATTTATTTAAAGGTGTGCTACAACTGATAATGGAGGATTGAGTTGATGGAGGTCAAATAAGAAACAAATCTAATATTTCTTTTAAAGAATGTTAAATAATGATAAATTGACGAATATTAATAAATTTTCATTGAAGTATTGTTAGAGAACTTTTAAAGAATTAAAATATTTATAGAGATCCTGAAGTCCTGGGGACAAGTTATGTTCATATTTTAAATAGAAAATTAGTTTAGAGTTAATTATACTTATCAAAACAAATTGTTTATCGAGATAGTTAAAGAACACTTTTTCATCGTTAACATCATATTGTTTTTTGTGAACGAATGTTTTGTTGAATGATTTGTTGATTTTTCTTTCAAAGAAATCTGGTCTGATTAAAGTGTTTAACTTTAATTTGGCAATAAAAATAGTTGTTAAAATTAGTATATTTTAATGTTTGGGTTTTCCTTTATTTAATATGTTGTGTAAAAAAGCTTTTTTAAAAGAAAAAACATACTATGATAACTTGGTAATTTGTTATTATTAGTAGCATTTTTATTATTATTATTATTATTATTATTGTTATTAGAATACCCTGTTAATTTAACAGAGAGAGGTAAATACAGATGCGGGTTGTTAAAAACAAAAAAATCATATTTTTGGTATTAAATGAAAAATATACAAATAAATTTGTTGGTGAAAATAATGTGAAAATAAATAAATGTTTTCTTTTTTCTTTTTTTCTTTTTTTTTTTTATAAAAGTAGTTATTTAAAAAAAACCACATGAAAGTTTTTGTTACATTTTTTATCAAAATTTTCACAGTTCTCAGACTTTTTTGTTCACAGTTCTCAGTTCTCAGACTTTTGATAAAATTATCATTTAATCAAAAGTGACACTGAGAACTGAAACACTTTACAAACTAAAATTTTTGAAAATTTTTTTTATTATAATTGCAAATTAAAAAAGATAAAATCCATTCTTCTGCGTAAATTAAATTGTAAATTAAGATCTCAACTGATTATTTGTTTTTATAAGTTTAATTAAATCTAACCTTATTTTCTAAGGTATAAACCTTAGAAAATAAGTTTAGATTTAACTAAACTATGAACACAACTTGTCCCAGCACTTCAGGAACCCTTTAAGAAGAAATGGTATTAAAAGCAGTGTGTAATAATGAAAGTTTACAATTATTAAAAGAATTAATTTGTGCAAATATTCATTAAATTAAATTAAACTATGCATCAAGTTATCAAGAAAATATTTTGTTTCAAAGCTCGAATGATTTGGTTTCAAAGCTCTAATGGTTTGGTTTTAAAGCTTGAATTATTTGGTTTCAAAACTCGAATGGTTTTATTTCAAAGCCAAAAAAAACTTCAAAAAAAGGGAATCAAAGTTATATTAAGTTGAATCATCCATCTTATGTTAAGCTAGAGACTGAGAACAAGTGTAAATATAGCTGAGAATATTGAATAATTGCACGTTGTTATTAAATAAAACCCTCATATATATAATCAGACTGACTACACATATAGTATTTTGTTGTGGAAATTTAGAAAAGGCTTTGTAGATGTTTACAAATCATTTACAAAAAAAAAAAACAATCGAGATATTTACAAAAAAAACTTTACTAAGGAAAAAAAAAGAAAAAAGTTAAACTAAAACAAAACAAAGCTCAAAAAATTATAACTGCTCAAGAAAATTATTATACATTATGTTTATAATTATATTTGGAATTATTAACTTATTTTTAACAATGGTTTTATAAGGAAAAAAATGTTATTCAATTTGTCAAAGAGTTATATATTTATAAGAATTATAATATTTGGTTACATTTTTAATTTATTAAATTTATTTGTTTTATTTTATTATTAGTTTTATTAACTTTTAGTTAAAAAGTTTACTGAAAATGCATTTGTTGCTTAAAGTCTTGTGTTTTATAAAATCACTCATACATTGTTTTAAAAGATGTTACATAATGGTTGCATTTTATTATGTAAAAATAGTAATATGTTAGCGGTAAAATTTTATTGTTATTAGGTATTTGACAAGAGAGTCTATCAAGTTTAATACATTAAATCAAACAAACAATTAATTAAAGTATTTAATTTGTAGAGCCATAAATTGAATAAAAAATTATACAAATTTTAATGGTTGTTATGCTTTTTTCTCTAGGGAGTTTTAAACCTTTTTTTCTGCCCACAGGCCTAAGGACTGAAGTTTAAAAGTTTTCTGTAAGTGTGCTAATAATTTTTATTCTACTCAAGCCATAATTTTATCCTGGGAAGCATGGGGTCAATGTTCAGCTACCCGTCAGTTAATATTTGTATTACCAACTCAACTAAAATATGATACTTGTATGGGAGCAACACTTGGGAGAAATAGTGTAATATTTTATAAACTAATACAGTACAAGTAAAATAAAATTCTTATTATTTTTTGTTAGTTGTATGTAAAGAATTATATTGAACACAAATTAAAGCTTAGTTTTTAGGGATTTTTTTTAGGCGAAGGTTAAGAGAAGTCAACCTATATTTATAATACTCTCCTGCCTCAGGGCACTAGGTTCAGTAAAGGCTAAAATAATATTCAGTGATCATAATGATCCTGAATCTAACCTGACCTGAAGAACACTGTCTTGTAGAATTCTTTTTAGGCAAGCACTAACCTATGCTCTATAGTCAAGGCCATATAAGGATTTTATTGCGTATATCAAAATACAAGACATAAGGGGCTGTCCATTAATTACGTCAACAAAAAAGGAAGGAAGGGATTTGAAATTTTTTGTTTGTTAACAAGAGGGAGTGGGGGGGGGGGGAGGGGAGGTAGGTCAAGACAAGTTGATGTTAACAGTGCTACTTTTTTAAATAAATTTAATTACTTAAAAAAAAAAATTAGGCAGTGTTTGTAGTGTTACACACTTGCTCAACCTACAATGTTTTAATAAAGCTATTTATGTTACTACTTTTTAAAAATCCTAATATGATTTACAAAGAAATAACGCATACAGAACTAAATAAGCACACAAGATAAAATTGTCTAAAGATTGTTGATGTAATTAATGGACAGCCCTTAAGCGTCATTACTATTATGTAAATTTTACAAATACTATGCGATTTGTAAATATTGATTAAAAACTTTTCTAAGTGTTCAAAACAATTAACAACTACTTTAATTAAAACTACTATAATATAGTTCTACTAATATAAATGTAAAATAATATAAATGTTTAAAATACTCTAAACAATTTTCAATTAATTTTTACAAATAGCATATTTGCAGCTTGGACGTTTATTAAAATTTAAATAAAGTAGTTTTTCTTAGCGTAACTAAATTAACATACGCTTACATCCATCATTAAATTCATGTATTCAAAGAAATGACTTTTACAACAAGATGCTATTTAAATCAACTCGCTATTTTCAGATAAAACTGAACAAGGTTAATACGAAAAAAAAATGATAGTTAAAAATAATTGTTGCGGCACTGGTTTTAAATACAGGAGAAGTGAAGTAGAGAGAGTAAAAAAATATCATAACACATCACCCCTTCCCCCCTCTCTCCCACACACACACTTAAAGTTAAAATAAAGTTTGTCCATGTTTAAAATAATTTTTTTAGGCAACTTAACTACATTTTTATATAGCAGACATTTTAAAAATTTGCAGCAAAAAAAAAGCTATAAGTAACAACAGAGAATAAAACAGCAATATTCAATGAAAGGAAATGAATACTATACGAAAAAGAAAATCTAAATAATATAAACTGAAAGAAATTGAAAAATAAAAAAAGAAAATTTTGTCAAAAAAATAATATGCCTAAATATTTTACTGTTTTTGTTTACTTTTTTTTTTAAGGGCGTTTTTTATTTTCGACGAAGTGGAAAATAACAAATGCCATCGATTTACCAATCATCGCTGATATTGAATGAATTTGTTGTGAATAAAATAATGAATTACACGCCTTTACACTTACACTACCAAAATTGATACAAGTTGAGGAAAAAAGTAGATAAGAATATAACAAAAATAAAAACATTTTTTGATATATAATATATTTGCAACTTTTGTTTGTCAATATGTTAAGGAAATACGTTATTTTAATATGGACAGTTTTAAAATTAGTTTCTTAATTATAGAGCTAACGAAAGCATTAATAAATTGCATATCAAAACTTTCAATTGTTGTTTAACTGTTATAAATAATGTTTTTTTCCTCAACTTGTATCAAATTTGGTAGCTAAATATAACTAAATATAAATATAAAATATAACTCAACCACCCTAAAAATAACAACCACCCTAAAAATAATAACCACCCTAAAAATAAAAACCACCCTAAAAATAACAACCACACTAAAAATAACAACCACCCTAAAGAAAAGAATACAAAAGTTGTATAAAAATTTTATAAATTTTTTTATTTTATTATCTTTTTTCAAATTATTAAATTTTTCTAGTTTAATTAAAATTTAATATTTTGATACAAGTTTGTTTTCTTTTTTTAAGAATTTATACATAAATTAATTTAATATTTTGTTATAAAAATATGTTTTTTATAACTATTTTTGTTATTTTTATTTTATCATTATATATTATATTTCATTTTTTTAAATCTATTTTCAAAAGCAATTAATTATAGTATTGTAACCATATTTAAGCCTAGTCCTAACCCTACCTCTGACCTTAATTCTGACCCTAACCAAACCCTCAGTTGATGTAACAACAATCCTAATGGCAGCAGGCTAAAAAATTGTTGACGTATGTACTTTTTCACTTTTCCTAATAGTTGCTTACGCAAGCAACTTTAATGGGGATCATTTTTCTCAAAAAAAAGTATACTTTTGTGGACAAAAAATTTACAGGTACACACAAAAATGTCCCCGATAATCTATTTGTCTATTTAAATATATGTATATATTATTCTGAGATCAGTTTTTGGGTCTGCAACAGAAAAAATTCTCCTAAAAACATTGCTCAGACAAACTTGAGCAGTTTCAATTTTTAAATTGCTCTAAAATTTTTTTGTAGTTTTAGAATATTTTAATAATATATTTATACTTATAACTATTTCTTCTACTATAAACAACAGCAAAAATTTTAGATCACCTAAAAGGTAATGTTGTTTAACTTATTTTCTAGCCAGTAGTTCAATGGATTCAACATTATTAATATTTAGTTTCAAACCACATGTAAGAGCATATCGTTTATCTGGTCACAAGGTATGTTTTTTTAACAAAAAATGTTTAATAATATTTGAGAGTGTATTAGAAATTAAAGGAATAGTTTTTATAAGATTTATTTTTTGGATTTCAAACAAAATAATTTATATTTAGTTTCCAATATTTACTTCAAATCTCATTTTAAAAGTTATATTTATTCAAATATATATTTTTTAAACATTTTTATTTTCTTTACTAAGAAATAACTACAGTTACTAAGAAAGAACTGTAATTACTTAGAAACAACTATAATTACTTAGAATCAAGCATAATTACTTCAAAACAATTCTAGTTACATGAGTTACTTATAAACAGCTTGAGTTACTTAGAAACAACCATAGTTATTAACAACCTAAACAATTATAGTTACTTAAAAATATTGGCATAACACTTGCTTTGATTAATGATCACATGGTTTTATCCTAAAAAAATTCTCTAAAAATTATTACATGAGAGTTTGTTGTGGAACAAATTAAAGTTTTTTTATAAATTTATACAAAAGTATGTTTTTAATGTAAAGTATTTAATATCAAGCATTTTTATTTAGGATGCTGTTACATCTGTTGTCTTTTCTCCTTCTGGTCACCTTATAGCATCTTCATCACGAGATAAAACAGTTCGATTATGGGTTCCTAGTGTGTATGTTTTTGTTTTATTTATATATTAGTTTTAACAGTCAACTTTAATATGGTAGTGGGATGTGTTAATGTGCTTGCTTCATAGGGGAGACGTTCCGAGTTCAATCCCCACCAAGTAGTATTAGTAGTACCCTGTTAGTACCTTGATCAATTTGTTTCTCTGCCTAGCGGTCTTGCTTGTCAAAGTTTGTGTTTGAAATTAAAGAGTTGAGAGAGGGTTGTAACCACAACAAAGTAGCCTCCTCAACTGTAGTGGCCTTCTCAACTTTGTGGAAGTGAATTAACATAAAAAAAAAATCTAAAAACTTTTTGGGGGCTGAATAAGTACGAGTTTCATAAGTGCGAACTGGCATAAGTGTGAAGTGTTGCAAAAACCGGCATAAGTGCAAATTGGAATAAGTGTGCCAAAAGAATTTGCAAACATTGGCATAAGTGCAAACTGGCATAAGTATGAAGCAGTTCCAAAAACTGACACAAGTGCGATTTGGCATAAGTGCGCAGAACAAGTTTACAAACATTGGCATAAGTGCGAACTGTCATTTACAGTTACAAAACCTGGCATAAGTGCGAATTGACATAAATGCACCAAATAAAATTGCAAATATTAATATAATTACAAATTGGCTTTTCACACTTATGTCAATTCACACTTATGCTTGTTTGTACTTAAGCCAATGTTTGCAAATTTATTCGACCCACTTATGCCAGTTTGCATTTATGCTGATTTCCACTTGTGCCAATATTTGCAACTGCTTCGCACTTATGCCAGTTTGCACTTATGCCAATGTTTGTAAATTCTTTTGGCGCACTTATGTCAGTTCTCACTCGCATTTATGCAAGTTCTCACTTATGCCAAGTCGCACTTATGAAATTCACGCTTATTCAGTTGTCCTGCTCAAGGTTTTCAACTAGATCAGGCCCAACAACAACAAAGGTGAGAAGATATGTTAGAAGAACTAGCTCAAAAGTATTAACAGTTTTACATACTAGGATGAATTAAAGATTTATTGAGGTAGAGAATGGAATTAGGATTTAAAAAATTAGTGAGCAGGATAAAGAGAGGCAACCTTAGTAAATGTTAACTTTGCTATAGATTGTATATATGGTTTCCACGAGAGGTCAGTTGTAAAGGATAATATGAGTAGGCATAAAGTTAAATTTTGCTGTTTATCAGTATAGAAATATCAACACTACATATGGGTGTGTTCAGGTTTGATAATTGAGATTGATTAGTTAAAAGAAGTAAATTTATATATTTTATAAATCTTTGAAATCATGTGCTAGAGCGGAGTTGGGATGTGGTAAAGAATTAGTGTTGCTCATGTTACTATATTTAACTTTCCAAATATCCAAAGGGTCGCTCTGGTTAAGGAGGCTACTATTTTTTAATTATTTTTTATTTTTCATGAACAACATTTTTAATTGTTATTTCTCCCTATGTATATCACTAGTAATATTTTGATACATAAGTTACTTTTATAATTAATTTATAAGTAATTAATATTGTAATATAAATGACACACTGAAGTATTAGTAATTTATATCATACAAGTAATTTTTCAGTGCTTTGATTATTATCTTAATATATGTTCCTAATTTATTTAAGTTTCTTTAGCAAGCAATTGTTGACTTTTTCAGTAGGGTGTTTTATGTTTTTGTTTATCACTGTTGTACAGTATTTTCTGCTTCAAAATATACAGTAGTTGTAGTACAACTTTTTTAAAGTTATTTCTAAAATATGTTTTTTAGTAAAGGGGAAAGTACTGTATTCAAAGCACATACATCAACTGTTCGAAGTGTCGACTTTTCAAAAGATGGACAGTCAATGGTTACAGCATCAGATGATAAAACTGTGAAGGTTTGAATTTTGTTCTTAATTGTGTAATCTTACCATGCACTAATTTGTTTATTGGTTAGCTATGTTGTTTATTGGTTAGCTAAGTTGTTTATTGGTTTTTAATAAGAACATTAAAATGCTAAATTCAATGATGTCATCATTCTTAAACTTCCACAAAATTAAAATTATAGTGATTTTTTCTGATGTTTTATTTTGGCTTTGCAGCTATGGACTGTTCATCGTCAACGCTTTTTGTTCTCATTGACTGGGCATATGAACTGGGTGAGATGTGCAAGGTATATTATTTGTTAGACTGCAGGTAATATTAAATTATGGTTTGGACCATTTGTTGGACCATTTCTACATAGGGTTGGGAATACCAGAAAAAATCCACTACCAGTATTGAAAATTTCTAATCCCAGGATTCTGGTATTAATACCGGTATTATTGTTTTTCCTATAATAAAATGAATGAGTAAATTTAATTAAAAAATGGTTTGGCAATTTAAAAAAACTAGATTTATTTATTTAAAGAATAAAAAAAGTAAAGCAAAGTAAAATGTTAGTTATATATTAATCATAAGAAAAGGAAGGAAACATAAAATTTTAAGGTTCTACTTTTTCTGCAGTTGGTTGTTGATATAAGACATCAGAAAACATAGATTGTTGAGCAAACTATTTTCCATCCAACTGAATTCCGGTGCAGATTAAGCCAGTTGCCAAAAAAGCTCTCTCTGATTCTATGCTGAATCAATGATTCTTCATCATTGTTTGGATTTTCATTGGAGTTTCTATCATTTAAATATTGCTAAAAACTTGAAATTTCTGTTTGTCTTTCAAGAGTACATACTTTTAAAGCTGCTTTTAATTCATAACTCAATGAACATGGATAGTCAGTTACTGATTTTATCATAAGTTGAATAGCAGCATTTGCAGATAACAAAGTTGCATCCTGTCAGCAGATTGCTTCAACTGTAAGCTTAATGGGAAATAAAACTGAAAAGATATCTGACAAAATTTTAAACTCTGTACCTGAATACAAAATAGGTGATTTCAATCTATTAGACTCTTTTTGATGCAATTTTTTTATTTGATCAAACATTCTATCATAGACACCAAACTATTCCATTGTGTTTTTGATCTAAAACCAGAGACAATTCTTTCCTGAACTCTTCTTTTACATATTTTTGTAGGATTTTGTCATTTTTTGTTGAAAAAGATTAAAAATTTTTGACCACTTTATGAACTTTTTTATTTAATGGTAACATTTGCTGATGTACCAGAAAAGAAGAATTCTCGGCATTATTTTCAGTATTTTGTAATCTTTGTCAATTAATTCATTGTCATCTGTGGAATTCTGCTCTTATTCAAATCTGGGTGTAGAAACAGATGTAATATTGGCATCTTCTTCATTATGTAGACTAGCTTCATTATTAGGTTTTTTGTAGAGTACGCTGATAACAGCCAACTGAATTTCATTTGCTAAACATGGATGCTGATGTGCTTCAATTAACCTGCTAACCTTTGTCATAACTGCAGCGCCATCAGTGGTAATACCTTCAATATTCTTTATCGAAAGCTCAAAATCACCTAACCTATCATTCACAAGCTCAACGCAATTTTCTGCTAAAGTTGTTCCAAAAGTAGGAATCAATTCTAGATTTCAAAATTCTTTGTGATAGTGGATATATTAATATTTATGTAATGCCTATTTCTTACCGATGTCCATTCATCGAAAGTTAAAGAAGTTTCCATTAGCAATTCTGCTCAATGATTCTTTAATTACTTGGTCTTGTATATTTCTACTGTAATTTAAGACCACCATGTGAATTGTTTGTGATCCTTTGGTATGTTAGAAAAGCCTCTGGTTGTTAAGCCTTTTCTAATATTATATGACGTGCAGATAATGTTGAATGATAATCCATCACATGCAGTCATCCTAGCTAAAATAGCTGGTAACGAGTCAAGCATTTTATCACTTTTAAAAAAGTTGTTATAGTTATGGAAGATTTTAATTTCTGTCCAAATTCTGAAGAATCAAAAACAATGGTGCTACCTGCATCTTTTTTCAATAAATTGATTTCATGAATTGTTTTTCAATGGGTACATAGTAGACTCTCGATTTGTTTTTATTATTCTCTTACACAATTCACATTTAGCATACTGCATTGCTTTTTCTCTTAAAAAATGAAACAACAATGAATTTTTATCATTTGCTTTAGAATGCTCCTCGAAATTTTGAATATTCATATCAGTGTAAAATACAAATTTTCTAAAAGTTCGAAACACGATAATAAATCATCTTTGCTTCCAACAAGGCTGCAAGCAACCACTAATTGAGTGGTTGCTCTAATTAGTGGTTGTAGAGCAAGATAATGATTGACAGGCGACTTAAAAGATTGCATATTATATGAATCAGGAAAGCAATATGAAGGAAGCAAATCCAAAGAACTGATGTTCGAGGGAAAAAACTAGACGAATAAGAGTTTTTGGAGCACTTAAGAACAGTAACAGAAAAAGAATGAGGTTTAATTGAATTAACCTTTAGCTAATGCACGATAAAATCTATTGGTTATTACTGTTAGCAAATCAGCCGTAGAACAAGAATATCAAAATCCATATTGATGATCAGAAAGTAAATTATTAGATTCAAGATGAGAGATTAAGTGTTTGTTAATTAAAGATTTAAAAACCTTTCTTATGATAGGAAGAAGACTAATGGGACAGTAGTTAGACGAATCAGATTGCTCTCCAGAATTTTTGAAAATAGGGATATCAGATGCTGCTTTCCAGCAGGCTAGAAAACAAGATTCTAATAAGCACTTGTTAAATAGGATAGACGACAGCTCAGGAGAACACTTCTGCAAGACTACAACAGGTATGTTGTCCAGGCCACAAGCTATAGAAGAGTCTAAGCAGGAAATCACTTTAGATACAGTAGCTGGAGTGATACCGATGTCGAGTAATGGATCAACCTGTTTGACGGCCACATCAGGTAGAACGCAACTAGTGGAATCAAGAGATGATATTGATGAAAAGTTCTTAGCAAACAATTCAGCTTTGTCTTTAGGTGAGGTGACAAAGTCTGAATCATACAAGAGAGGTAGAATTACAGATTTGCCCTTATTATTGATACTATTAAAGATTCTCCAGAAGTCAGAGAGCCTAATTTTTGGGATGAAATACGAGATTTCATGATCTGTGAATAGCGGGCTTTGGCGTTAGACAAAACCTTTTTACAATGATTCCTAGCAGTATTAAACAGATGTCTGTTTTCTGGAGAATTGTTCTGCTGATAGATATGGAAGTAATGGTTTCGATTGGCAATTGCAGCAGCACAATGTGAGGAAAACCATGGAGAAGAGAGAGGCTTGACCTGGAATTGTTGAGAGGAAATAAAGGATTCCATGCCAGCCTGAATCCACAAAGTTATGTAAGAAGCACATTTGTCAACAGAAAGACGAGAAATTTCTACCCAAGGGCCATCACAAAGAAAATCACAGAAAGAGTCCCAGTCAGCTTTAAGGTAGTTGTAATATGCTTGATGATAGAGGGATTCTGATGATAAAGAAGAATGAGATAATAGTTTTAGAGAGACCAAACCATGATTGGAAGCACCTAAGGGTAAATGTGGAGAAACTGAGCACTGACTAGGATCAGAAACAAGACATAAGTCGATTAGAGAAGGTAAGTGTTTCGGGTTGTCTGGAAAACGAGTTGGAAAGTTGACTATTTGAGTTAGGGATTGAGAAAGGCAAAAGCTGTGGGCTTTAATGCCGGCAGAGTCACTGACACTAGAGCCAAACCATTCAGTGTGATGAGCATTAAAGTCACCGACAACAACAATATTAGCTGATGGATAAAAAGAAAAGGCTTGGTCAGTATTATCAGAAATAACATCAAGAAGAGTGCAGTCTTGAGATAAAGAAGAGTGATATAGAACAAAGAGAAAGGCAATGAATTGAATCCACAGAGTAATCTGTGGATTCAAACCTAGTTTCCTGACAAATGGGTGAATTCTTACGAATGTAAATGCCAAGTATGTGACTATAGGTGTCTTTACGAATTAAAGGAAGATAACCATCAACACTAAGATCACAAGATGAGACAGCTGAACTCAAATTAGTCTCACAAAGAGCAAGTAGGTCTGGTGAACTTTGCAAGAGATAAGACTCAACAGAAGAAAAGTTACTTCAAAGACCACGAATATTAGTGAATGATAGGTTTAGAGAACTTGGTGATGGCAATGGTTTTTTGTGTTCTATAGTTTTTGTTACTTTATTCATTTTTAAATTTGTTAAGGAACTTGACTCGAAGCATAGATAGTACTCAGTACACTGTTTAATAGCCCAAGCAATTGCCTTATTACTATTAATAAACCCTAAGCCGTAATAAAGGGCTCCAATGTAGCCTTAGCAATGCACACCAAAAGTACAAACAGGGACACCATCTATGCGTAACATGGCACTGTTAATACTTTGATATTTTACAGCTTTTGATGGAATAAGCCTCTCTGAGAGCTACCACAGAGTTCGCGAAACCTGACTACCAGCCGGCCTCAGAACCATAAAACTGAGTTTTAGAGCTGTACCCTCATTAGGAGATAATAGAATGAGTTGCCTAGTCATAAAAACAGACACAAGCAAAATCCATGCATCAAGTCAAGAAGATTCAACATCCTAAACTGAAAACATTCAACATCCTAAACTGAAAACTATGTTTTCATCCTAAACTGAAAACTATATTAAAAATACATCTGCGCTAGCCTAATAGATGAAGAAGGGGTGCGAGGCTGGTCAACAGATAAAATCTGTTTACCCTTTAAGTCTTTGCCTAGGAGGCCTTCTACAAGACAGCAGCCGGATGCATTTAACATCTGCCCAAGATGAGTATTTTTATCGAGACACTATCTCTAGTCTTTATTTAACTAAAAGCCCAAAGGCAGTTGGTGTTTTATGTCAGAGTTAGCATCTCCTAGCCTTTGCCTAAAAAGGCGTATCCTACAAGGCAGCAGGATATGAAGCAGATTGTACTGGGTTACATGTTACCAGTAGCAGGATAACCTGACCTGATATATGAATAGCTTATATCATATAACCACATATATATATCATATAACCACATATCAAATAATCTATATCATATAACCACATATCAAATAACCTATATCATATAACCACATTTAATTATGATGAATTTAACGATGAATTTTGTTTCCATTTATAAGATCAATTAAAATTTTAAACTTTTTAAAGGGATCCCAAAGTGCCGAGACAAGTTGTGTTCATAATAAAGAG